AGATAGATAGATAGATAGATAGATAGATAGATAGATAGATAGATAGAAAAAAGATTTAGCCCATTGTTATCTTCATTAATGAATCAATGTGGAATAATAGAATGCTAGACTGGGAGTTAAGACTTGGTTTCAAACCCCACCTAGGACACTTGACTATGGGCAGGTCATTTAACCTTCTGGAAACTTAATTAACTCTCAGGCTATAAAATAGAGATGGGTTGTGATCTAATCTGCTGTCAGCAGAGATAATTCACACATTGGCAAAATCACAGATACTTAACACAACATTGTATTATCATTAATAGTATTAATGATACTACTATTTCAACTAATAATATTTGAGGCAATTTGTAGGCCTTTGTACTAGTATTTATACCACCTATGTGATATAGTAATAGATATATTTTTATTATCCTAATCCATCCGTGACAAATATACCAAGACTGTATTTTGTGTAATTTTTCCAAATGATCATAGGGCTAGAGGGCACTCTAAGAAGCCATGTCAGGTAAATCATTGTCTTGGTACCAAAATTGCGCAGCAACCAATCCTGAAAGATAACTATCTATATCTTTTCTTTAAATATATCTCCTGAAGGAAATTCTAAAACCTCACTTAGTCACTGACTCACAGCTCTTCTAGTCAATGTCATGTGGTATTTGTTTAATGTCCTAAATTTAATATTTCTTGGTATAAATTAAAACTTTCTTCTTCTTGTCTGACAAGTCCACACCTGGAAAGAGTCTCTCTCTCTCTCTCTCTCTTTCTCTCTCTCTCTCTCTCCCTCTCCCTCTCCCTCTCTCCTATGTATGTATGTGTGTGTGTGTGTGTGTGTGTGTGTGTGTGTGTGTGTGTGTTTATCCTAACAGTCAGCTTCACATTGAATGCTAGATGGCTTCAAAAATGGTCTGTTATCTGGCTATTTCTAAATATATAAATATACAGAAACATAGTAGTTTCTCAATAAATATATGATGATTGGTTCATTTTGGCACCACATCTAGAATATTGATTCATTTTCATATTTTATCCAGATGTTTATCTCCTATCCCTAGCTTGAATCTAGTAAATATATACTACCTAGTTCTGTGTGTTAGACCACATCACCACTAAAATCACCACCAGTCCTTTAGGAATGGAATGGAAAGGCTATTCTTTGACAGAAAATGGCTTAAGGTATAGCCACAAAAAAGCCAGAGAAATCTCACTCATGCCTCAGAAAACAAAATGCAACTGAAGTGCCACTTAGACTCAGGAAAATTCAAGGAACAAAGAACAAAGAGTATTGCTAGGTGGGAAAATTTCTAAAAGCTTGTGGCCAAAAATAATTCATTGCTGATGATTGACTTCTTAGGTTGAGAGAATTTGCAGCTACTAATTGTCTAATTAGTTTATTACAACCAGGCCCAGCATTTCCTATGTGTTTTGCATATAAGTTACATAGGCCAAATAGGCACTATGAATATCATATCAGAGTTTCACTAGTGCTTAGACAAGGGAGGGAGGGGGAAGGATTACAAGGAAAAGTAATTAAAAACAATCCATACAAAGGCCAATTTAATTGACCTCTTAATACAAAGTTAATTGAATTCCTGATGTACATTTAGCCAGATGCTCTTAAGTCAGCTGGAGTAAGGAATATTTGCCTATTGCAGTGGTCCCTTAGAGTTGTATCTAGGAGCTAACATATACCATTTACAAAGAACATGAGAAACAATTGCAAGAGAGTTGAACCTGACTGAAATTGAACACTATATTAATAGCATGAATTCCTCCAGGTGTGATATTAATAACCTTTTGGGTCATTTTGAGCTGTAACTTAATTTCCCCTAAGGTATGAATCAGATGAATTAGAAATGCCCCATAAGAAGTCAAGTTATTACAAACAAGGTTTTGTTTTCCTTGGTGACTACCTGAAATCAAATATGATGCATGGGTTTTGTTTAATTGTTTGTTTTTTGGATTCTTTTGGAAAGCAAAAGAAAGAAACCATTCTGAAATCTGTTGATCTGTAATCTCATCATTGGACATCCAATGAGTATGTGATTCCTCCAGCTGCAGGTTACAACCCATCCAGATCTATATGACTAGCCCATATTCAGTCACAAGTTTCCATAGAATCCACCCCACATCCTGGGAACCTTCTTTATGCTTTCTATATACTGTATGATTAGCTACAGAGCAAATGGACATTCTATCCGTCATACTTCACTGTTGCTACCTGACCATGTGTGCAAGGACTGTCTTTATATCCACTGCCTGGCACATATAGTAAATACTCACTCATCCTTAAGTAAAGCCACTTAATAAATGTTTATTGATTGACTGATTGACCAATTCCATCTTATATTTTTTCCCCAATCATACATTTCTTTGATGACATCTTTAATAGCCTATGTAATCCCTGGTTTGTAAGGTGTTTGCATCCTGCATGTGACCACCGTGCCCTTTTCAGGAAGTTTTACCTTTACATCCATTAACTTAAATATAGAAATATATACACACATATGTAAGTATGTATATATTATCTCATTTGATCCTTGCCATAATGGGAGGGAGGTGCTATTATCTCAATTTTACAAATGAGGAAATTGAGGGTAAGTCAAGGTCAAGTGACTTTCCTAGAGTCACATAGCTAGTAAGCATCTGAAGTAAGATTTGAATTCAGGTCTTCTTGACTTCAGGGATAACACTCCAGCCACTGTGCCACATAGCTACCTGTTCAGACAGACGCAAGAGACGGAGACAGAGAGACAGGAACAGATAGTTGTATTTCAATATAATTGATTTCCTTCGTAACTCTGTATTTTATTATTTGTTTTTAATAACATTAGTCATAGGTTTCACCAGATTTCCAAAAAGGTTTATAACACACAAAAATGAGATTAAGAACCCCTGCTTTAGAGAATTGTCAACTTTACTACTTTGGCTAAAACTCATCATCTATTACAATACATGTTTATCAAGAATCTCCCATGTATAGGTTTATGAACCATATGGAAAAAATATTCTATCAGAAAAACTTTGGAAATGCATTTGATACCCAGCTACATTCAAATGTGTGAACTCTGAGCTGTTCAAGTTGGAGCAGATTAAGAAAATCTAGGTACTTGGGGCAACATGGGTGGCTTCTCATGACTAGTTATTATTTTCCATATAATTTGTACTGCAAAAAGAAGTGTCGATATGTCTTAAATCAAGGAGATCTGAGAAAACCTTTTTTTTTTTTTTTTTGGTCAGTATGTTAACCTGCTTGTTGGCTTGAAGAGAAGTATCCCAAGAACTGGGAAAACTTCTTTTTTAGAGAATATCAGCTGGCCAACCATACTTAGGTAGAATCAAAATAGATGGGCCAGTTGAGAGAAACAGCAAGGCTTTCTAAAAAGGTGTTCAGCAACTCTTTGTGGAAGCTAAGCAAGAGCTAGAGCCTTGAGCAATCCAAAAGAAAGGAAATCAATGATAACCTTTTTATGTGGCCTTCAAGTAATCTCTCACATCAATAAAACACTACAGATAAGCAGGTACTGTGGTACATAGATTATACTTTCTAATGTAGCAAGGGGTGCAAAGTCCATTCCTTCTGCGTATGTAGAAAGAAAAACAAAGGTAATGAATCAGGCGGGAAATAAATCTTCAGCAGAAGCTTAAAACTAGGAAGTATGAGTCCTATTTTTTTAAAGAGTTGAAACAAAATGTCTCTCACTATTATTGTTGTTGTTATTCAGATTATTTCTTTCAGTTTTCCAAATTCTTCATTTTATTTTAATTTCAAAAGCCTTTTTTGAAATATTGAGAATTATTTTATTCCATGTGCCTCAATCTCATTCAATGTCTTTTCTGAAATGGTCACAGTTCTATTTTGTGACATAAAACCGCCCTGTGCAACCTCATTATTATTCACCATTTAATGAATATTATCTATGTGCTTGATGGTTAGGGGCGGGGGAAGCCCATGGCTTTCCTGGGATGGATAGGATGCTGTAATTTTACTATATATATAAATTTATGCCTCCAAGGAAAATCCCAGAAGGGGATAATGGCTTATGGTTTCTCATTGCTCCAGGCTCTGCTTTAAGGAGAGTCACATTATCTGTCCTGATGTTCCCTGCTTATGTCCAACTGCTAGAGGGCTTTATAAGGAATGGGCTGAGGTACAACTCAGATGAATTCACTGCACTCAGATTTTTGCTGGTTTTTGTTAACCTATTGTGAGACTGAGCCCAATGCCTTAGTATAACCCCTATATGTATGTATATACATGAAATCACAGAAGATCATAGGATCATAGATCTATAACTAGAAGCCATCTAGTCTGATTCCATCATTTTATGGATGAGGAAATTGAGGCCTAGAGAGATTAAGTGACTTTCCCAAAGTCACACTGATGGTAAGGGCAGATCTGGGATTCAAACTCACTTTGACTCCAAACCCAGTTTTACCAAATACCATCACACACAATAACTATTTTTGGCTTGTGTATAACAATATGTCACATTCCTGATGTATTATTTGAAGTACACATAGTAGTTATAGACATTCTATAGTTCATATAATTTTAGAACTGGAAAGGACGCTAAAGATC